CATGTGCCCGGCGTGAGTTTAAGCCACCGGGTCTGGAACTTGAACTGAGGTCGACCACATGGGAGTCCAGCAACATAGCCATTACGCTAACTGCTGGTCCCCAGAGTTGGAATTTAGACCCAGGAGATCTGCCCCTGGGACCAGTGTCCTGAATGCCTGTGCCACATTGCCTTGTGACACAAAAGCCACGAGCAGGGGGAACCAGCAGTTAGCGTAATGGCTATGTCGCTGGACTCCCACGTAGTCGACCGCGGTTCGTATCCCGGACCCGGTGGCTTCAAACTCACGCCGGGCGCGTGTGCGTGCGTGCCCAAGATCCCGAGAGGAGAATGGAGGAGAAGGGATTGCGGCGTGACCATCCCCCCGGGGGGTGATTTCTCGCTTTCTGTCTCTATGTCTCTCTCTGTCTGTCTGGCGAGTGCACGCGCCCTACAGTGAAAATCTCTCCAAAAAAAAAAAAAAAAAAAAAAAAAGCCACGAGCAGGTAACACATGGGAGGTTCATGGAAAATTAAGACACAGAGGGGCTCATGAGGGCGGACTGCTCAGTGCTCCTGGACGTGTAGCTGCCTTCATGGAGCAGATTCGAGTTGGCATCTATCACTTAGCATCAGGTACCTCTGGGGTCCCTAAGCAATGTTTCATAATGTTATATAAAACAAGTCCACGTGTCTGTGCTTGTGGACAGATACACCATTTGGTCAATCAACTCCTCAGTATACGCTAATAATAAAATTAACACGTATTGGGGACCAGCAGGTGGCGTGGTAGTTAAGGCACTGGACACTTCCATGTGGCCAACCACGGTTCAAGTCCCTAACTGGACGGCTTGCTTTCTCACTTTCCCTCTTTCTGTGTGTGTGTGTGTGTGTGTGTGTGTGTCTCCCTCTCTGATCAAATTTAAAAATAAATAAATAGGCAAAATTAAATAAATAATTATTTACTAAAAAAGGATTGATGCATACTGATTAATGCATTTTTAGTTTAACAAAAATAATTTTCAGTCTATTAGAATCAAGCTGGCTCTTAGGCACCAGACAAAGGGCTTGAAGAGGAAATGACTGGGAAGACGTGACTAGTTGGGACAAAGTATCGATGGTCATAGCAGGTACACCCTTTGTCAGGGGGTCCGTAGCCAGGGAGAGAGGGAGGTCCCCACTGACTGACTGCTTACCCGCTGCTCTCTGCAGGCATCCCAGGACAGCATCGCAACCCTCCCAGAGAAACATTCAGGTCAGGCCCTGATTTCTTCCCTTGTAGATGAGACAACTAAGAGAGGTTACGTAATCTCGGTGCCAGCAGGTGGCGTGGTGGTTAAGGCGCTGGACACTCCCACATGGCCAACCAAGGTTCAAGTCCTGGACCTGGTGGCTTGATTTCTCACTTTCCCTCTCTCTCTCTCTCTGTGTCTCTCTTTGGTCAAATTAAAAAATGAACGTGACTGTTAAAAATAATGATTCTTGGGACCAGCAGTTAGCGTAATGGCTATGTCGCTGGACTCCCATGTAGTCGACCCCGGTTCAAGTCCCAGACCCAGTGGCTTAAACTCACATGGGGGCACGTGTGTGTGTGTGCTCAAGATCCCAAGAGAAGAATGGAGGAGAAGGGATTGTGGTGTGGCCACATCCACGAGGGATGATTTCTCGCTTTCTGTCTCTCTGTCTCTCTCTGTCTTTCTGCGAGTGCACGCTCCCTATAGCAAAAACCTCTCCAAAAGAATAATAATAATAATTCTTGGGGCCAGAAGGTGGCATGGTGTTTAGGGGCTCTGGACTCTCATACAGGCCACTGAGGTTCCAGTCCTGGACATGGTGGCTTGAAATTCACAGCAGGCACATGTGTGTGCATGCCCAAAATTTCAGGAGAATGGGGAAGGGATTTTGTTGTGACCATCAACCCTGAGTGTGTGGAGAGGAGATTTCTCATTTCCCTCTTACTGTCTTTCTGCCCCTCTCCAATGAGTGCACGAACTCTGTGATAAAAAAAAGGTTTTTTTTAAACTAAGAGAAAATGATTGTCACAAGTTGAGCTGTTTAATACTCAAATGCTTGCCCAACATTATGTAATCTGATTCACTTCCTGATGTGGTGGTGGGGAGAGAGAAAAGCCATAATATCATTGTTAAGCGCTTTCTGCAAATGCTTGCCCAACATTATGTAATCTGATTTACTTCCTGATGTGGGGGTGGGGAGAGAGAAAAGTCATAATATCATGTTAAGCGCTTTCTATTTATGACAAGTGATTTCCTAACTCCATTAAGGTGTAAGGAAACCAAGAGCCACTTACTGTTAAAAGAGGAAAAATCATAGAAAGTATTGCTTAAGGTGAGCAGTCATGCTTCCTGAATAGTTACTAGCCTTCAGCCACACTGGTTTTAAGTGATGAAGAATTTAAATAGCAGTTAATGAGTTCTATTCCATTAAAATACTAAGGTGTTTCACCTTGTCTTGCTCTTGGGCTAGAAGTTAAGGGCACCTGTTCCCGAACAGACTTCCTGAATCTAAATTCTGACTCTGCCAAGAAACCTGTGTGATCTGCTGCCTCCGTTTCCACGTCTGTAAAATGGGGTCGAGCTGGTTCGCACAGGTGACGCCCTAGAAGAATCCACAGGGTTCATCCTCAGTGCTGTTAGGGATCAGCCTCGACAGGAATGAAAGCAGGGGCCCTTTATCTCTTAGTTAAATAATCTATTAGAATTACTGAATCATTTTTGCCAATTAAAAAATGTCAAGAGAAATTAGTATCTCGCTCTCGGGGCTGCTGCCTCACCATCCGAAAGCTCTGAGTGCCCGGAGTGCAGGCTCCCGAATGCCGCGGGGACGGGTGCTTTTCTCGCGCTGCGGCTGAACGGGTGCCAGGGGCGGCCCTGCCAACGATTCCGAGCGCATCCAATCAGGGGCAGCATCTCCGCATCAGCAGAATTGCGCTCTCGGAAGTCTTAGTCAGCCGGATGGTGCAGACGCGGGGGCAGGCCGAGCCTTGGGGTTTTCACTTAGACTTAAAGGTGGTGTGATTTTGGAGTATCCCACTGAAGGGGGCATACAAACAGCCCTCGGCCTGGCCGTGGGGCCTCGTCCACAGGGCAGACCACAGGTACAGGGATGATCAGGCAGACACGTGGGACTAGACAGTGCTGGAGAAAGGAGTCTCCGTTGATCTGACTGCTGAAGGGACTAGAACTCTCCATGCATTCTCTGCAGCAGGTCCACCAAGACCTGGAAACTCAGGGCATGGGCACCTGGCTGCTCCACCAGTGGCTTAATGAGTGCCAAGCTTAGTCCTTTCCATTCTCATGTTTGCTGGTTGCATTTATTATTGTAACAAAGTAGTTTAACAAAATCCTAAATGACAGCTTGATTAACTATGGATGCATAAGAGGACATTCGTTTTTGTAAAAACAAGTTTAGAAGACTTGGAGGAAAATTTGATGTTTATAAAATAGCTACTTGGACCAGTAGGTGGTGTGGAGGTTAAGGCACTGTAGTCTACATGGCTGACTCTGTGGTTTGAGTCCCGGACCTGGCAGCTTGAAAATTAGGTTGGGCGCATGCGCATATGCCCAAGATTCTGAGAGCAGAATAGAGGAGAAGGGGTCTGGGCAGGGCCATCTCCCATGGGAGGATTTCTCATTTTCTCTTTCTCTCTGACTCTAGTGAGTGCACACTCCCTACCCTATAGCAAAAACTAAAAACAAAACAAAACAAAACTGGTAACCTGAAGTTACTGTATCAATGCTGGTTTCTTAGTTTGGGGAATAACTGGGTAAGAACATGCTCTTGGGGAGATGTATACAATATTGAGGGTGCAGTGTTCTGTTATGCGAAGCCTACTCTCCATGGTTTGACAGAGAGAGAAGAGAGTCGAGAAAGAGACCGAGCTCGAGTGATGTAGCGGGTGGGACAACCCAGTCAGCAGTCGGGGAACCCAGTGAGGGTGTCTGTGTGTTCACTGTACTGTTTTTCAACTCTTCTGAGGGTGCCAATTATTTTCAAAGGAGTGCTTTAGCCTTGGACACTAACGGTAACTAGCCTTGTCCTCACGTTAACATGAGTAACACAGCCAAACCCTCTGCGTTCATTCTTTGCCATCTCTACCACAGTTACTCATAATTCGTTCCCGTAGAAAACACCTCAGCCCGGCAGCCCGACAGCTTCCTAAAACCCACATGCCTTAACATTCCAAGTGCAACTGATGTGAATAATCACCACTGATCCAGCCAGTGGGTTCACGGGCAGCTGTTCAGGACTATTATATGACAAAGGGTTGATGTGGACGGGACTGTACAATTGGTTCTCTCCTGGGACTCACAGACAGGAGGGAGGACAGACATTCAACGTCTACATGCAAACCTTACATGGAGCAGACAGGAAAGGGGGCCTGCTCTAGACTAGGGACACCAGTGAACAGTTACCTGCTCAAGCTAGGACTGAAGATTCCCAGCAGTGTATGGTAACTAGAGTCTTACTCCAAAGAACAAAATGTATCCTGACCCCATGTCCTCAGGGGATAGGGGATTCCTGGTTCTGCCCTCTTCCCGGCCCGCCTCCAGGTGCTGTACGGGTCTGGGAGACAGGAACGTGGAAGAAGCTCACCATCCAGTGTCGGTTTGGAAACAGTGGCCAGCGCCCCCCAGGACACCTGAGCACAGCCTGGCTCCAGCAGAGCTCCCTTCATGGAGTCTGTGTCCCCAGGAGTGGGACTCAGCCTTCCCTGCTGCGTGTGCGAGCACCCTGTGTCCCCCGATTCAGGAGCCACTTGACTTCCACTCCCAGAAACAGCGCTCATGGCGCCTTGTCTTCAGCAACTCTTACCTGAGCCCGGTGGCAAGAGCATCTCCTGGGGGAGGGAGTGCCCAGGTCTGTTTTCTTAGAATAACAGAAAAAAGACAGTGAAAAAAAACACAGGTTCAAGTTAGTGTCTCAAATCATGCAGCATTCCAGACCCTGGAGGGAGTGAGCTATGTCCTGCAGAGGCTGGAGTCTGCAGTGTTCTTTCAGAACCATGCTCCTCAGTCTCCAGGAGCAGGCATCAGCTCCTCCCAGGGACTGTGGGAACAGAGGCCACGCCCCCACCTGGGACTCAGTGGGGCTGAGAATCTGCACTTCTGGTTGGTTTCCAGGACGGGGTGCTGCTGTTGGTTTGGAGACCCACTCTTCGACATCTATGATGCTTTGGTGGAGCCTGCTTAAGCGTGTGATGGAAATAAACATGAAAGTTTAAAAGTCAAAAAGGCAGGACTGGGCAGATGGCGTAATGGTTACGTTGCTGAATTCCCATGCAGTCGACAGTGGTTCAAGTCCCGGACTCAGTAGCTTAAAAATATGCCAGGCATATGTGCATGCATGCCCAAGATCCTGAGAGGAAAATGGAGGAGAAGGGATTGCAATGTGGCCATCCCCCCGGGGGATGATTTCTCACTTTCTGTCTCTCTGTCTCTGTCTCTCCAGCAAACACACACACACACACACTCTATAGCAAAACAGAAAACAAAAAACAAAGCAGGATTGCAGTAATTAAGTCGAGCTATTTTAATGACCTCAAATATCTAAGGGAAGAAAATGGAAAGATTGCATCTTCTGAAGGTATCAAATGTGAGGAGACTTCAAAAAGTGTGTGGAAAATGAAATTAACGTATAAGCTTATTTTGGTGAAAAAATTTGAAACCCTTGCATGGTCTTTTCATGATGAGCTTTCTAGGAGCTTGATGAAGACGACTCATGTCCACTTCTTTGGGGAACTAGAGACCCTCCCTCTCAAAGGTTATTTTCCATTCATGTTACAATACACAGAGATGTGAGGAGGAACCGTGGTAAGTGTGTGAAAATTCTCTGCAGTCCCCGTTTTTACTTTCATTCTTTTTTCTTTTCTTTTCTTTTTTTTTTTTTTTGGCAGCGAGCACATGCACTGACTCATGTGCCTGGTGTGTTCTTCAAGATACTAGGACTGGGAACCAGCAGTCAGCGTAATGGCTATGTCGCTGGACTCCCACGACTGCGGTTCGTGTCCTGAACCCGGTGGCTTAAAATTCACACCAGGCGTATGTGCATGTGTGCCCAAGATCCTAAGAGGAGAATGGAGGAGATGGGATTGCGGCATGGCCATCCCCCCTGGGAGGTGATTTCTCGCTTTCTGTCTCTGTCTCTCTCTGTCTGTCCGGCGAGCGCACGCGCCCTATAGCGGAAATCCTCTCAAAAAAAAAAAAAAAAGATACTGGGGCTGAGAACCCCGTGGTTGGCCACCTCCCTTGACTGACCACTGAGCTGCAGGGTCACCTGTCTCCTCTTTTTTTTTAATGGCAGCAAAGCCTACTGGCCTAAGGGAAAGATAGGTGCTCAGTTAAAGATCTTGCTGGTGTGGGTTTTGCTTTCTGTGGCTGCTCAAAGAGCTTCTCTAGGAGTATCTGAGGCACTTTCTTATCTCCTCTAACAGCCAGCCTGTCTTCCAGATTCGCCCTGCCTCTGCTTTCAGTTTTATTTTTTTTTCCTGGAGAAAGCAAACTAATTTTCAGTTCCTACTAACCCAAAGAAATAGAAAAGTGAAAAATGAATGTATACCTGTAGCATATATCATGTATGACAAAACTCACTTTAGATCCACTATTGCATCGAATTTCTCTCTCTGATCCTCTGCTGTCAGAAGGTACAGTAGAGTAAGTGGACGCCGTCAGAGCTGGTGTGTACCTGGGTGTGAGGGCTGGAGTTAAAGTGTGTCACAGCGACCAGTTTGGGTGTGTTCCCTAAGCTCATGGCTGAAATTTTGTCTTTGTTTTAAGACAAAGAACATTTTGATATTAATACTAGTGAATTAACTTGTTCTTTTAAAAGACACATAAGAATATTGGTCTTCCTTTCTTGGTCATGAATACTATTTCAGGAAAAGGAAGCTTTCGAACCACCTACAGAAAGTGTCACATGCTAACTGACATGAGTGAATACACAGCATTATATTACACACTACAGTATGAATACATTATACTAGACATATGGCGGGACTTCAAAAAGTCTGGAAAACGGAATTAATATATGAATTTATTTGGCAAAATTATTTTTAAATCTATGCATGTTTTTCCCATAATACCCATTTTCCATGAACTCTTCAAAGACCCCTTTATACATATGTGAACATTCTGTTGAACCCAAGAGGTTGCCAACATCAGAGCACTTCCTGCCTCAATTTTCTATGCTTCAACTACATAGCACACTGAAAAAAGAATAGATAACTTCATCATTTCTGTAAAAAAGTGACTTCAAATTCCCGAATACACTCGTCTGTCATTTTTCCTATATGAAATATCTCCTCAGTTTTTCTGGTCTCTTTCTCTTGATGTCATGTGGTTCTTTTTTTTTTTTTTTTTTTTTTTAAAAGTTTTTT